TTTTGAAGTTGAAATCCTGTTCCATTCCTGGCTCATTTCGTGCTCTGAAGTAGGCCTGTCTAAGCCTATTGTAGTAAGCCTGTGTGGTTTCCTGTCTGCCCTGTTTAAGGTCCATGGCAGTAATCAGTCCTTGCTCTGACTCTGGGTCAGAGAACTCCTTAATCAGAGCCTGCTGCATTTGCTGGTAATCCCCTTCGACCGTTTCTGGCTGCCGGTCTAGAAAGCTCCTCACCTCACGGCTGGTGGTAACATTGGCAACAGTTTGCAAGTGAAAGTCAATGTCTTTTAAGTAGGCGTGCACATCATGGCCCCCTGCAGGGTTTGGAGTGAAAGTGGGAATGTTTCTAGCCAGCTTATCCAATTCTTTAGGTGACACGCCGTGACTGGAAGACAGCTTTTGAAAAGGCTCCCACCCCCTTGCTGCTGTTGGGGGTTCAGGGATGCTGGCATGTGATGTCTTGAGCAGTGGGCTCTCACCCCCCTTTCAAACTGGAAACCCTTAGCTGGTATCAATCTGCTGGTTAGGGGAAATTATGTGGTGTGCATTCCCCTTTCAGAGTCACTTTGCAGTCTATATTCATATTTAAGCTCTCGGTGAACCATATCAAGTTCATCTTTTAAATAGTCTCTTTGTTGGGCCAGGGCACTGACTTCAGCCCGGGAACTTTGCAGGTGGCCTTCGCCGGCCTTGGCCCTAGCATCTCTCTCTTTGAGTTCAGTCTCTGCTCTCATCAGGAGAGCCTCGGCTCGCTGAAGTTTTTCCCTTAGTTCCTCTCTGGTGTCCTTCTCCCACTGCTCTCGGCGTGTTGTGTCTACACTGAGATCAGTTAAGGCTTTCTGGAGTCTCTCTACTTCTTCCTGCAGCTCTGGGTCCTTTTCATCCACCATCCTGTGCTGGTGCTGAGTCTCCGACGTTAACTGGTCCAGTTGACTTTGAGCAAGCACCAGGTTTCTCTGAGCCTCCTCAGCCTGGAGCTTCAGCGCTGCTGCTTCCTGTTCCATGCGGGAGATGCTTGTTTCTCCCAGCTTTGCCTGAGCGAGGAGGTTGTGGGCGAGGGGCCCGATGATCTTGGTGAGATCTTTGTGGCTGTAGTCCTGTGTCGGATAGTGTGACATCAGGGCGCTCAGGTTATCGTCGAGCTGTTCCCGGCTCAGGTGCTGCAGGCTGCCTGCTGCTTCAGACAGGAGTGTACCAGTTATGGCACTCAGCCAGGAC